CAGTATAAAGTAATATGTGGGAAAATGATGAGCAAAAGAAGCGTATATTCTATTTACGAAGATTCAATATAAAATTGTGTAAATATGTTAACGAATAGAAATATGGATGGAAAAAAAATATGGGGATGTTGCAATGCAGAATATTTAGAAAGAGATATAATGAGCCAGAAGGAATGTGTTACTAAAATCTAATATAGAATTGTATAGATATATATTGAAAAAAAAGGAAGATAAAGAAGAGTTATGTGGAGTAACATGAAAAGTATTGTAAAGCGAAGCACTGGCGTTCCCGTTCATTTGTTTGTTCGTCAAGATGGAAGATATTTCTATACTGTTATTTCGAAGATACATTATTTCGATAACGTATTGCAATAATGTTATCTCGAGGATACGTTATTTCAATAACATTACTTCGAGAATACGTTATTTCAATAACGTTATTTCGAAAATATATTTCTTGAATAACGTTATTACGTCATTTTAATAATGTCATTTCAAAGATACATTACTCCCATAACATTATTTCGAGAATACGTTGTTAATAACGTTACTTCGATAAAGATACCCGGATGACGGAATAGCGGATGAGAGAATACGGCACTTCGTTTCCGACGTTGAACGCTCTCGGAACCGATATCCCGGTCTCGGCGTCTACGGACATCAATGAGGAGGAATACGTTGGTGAAATGATCGTTTGCATTTAAACGTTGTACGCATGAGAAATACATTTATTCCAAGGGACGAACCGCACTGACAATCCGAGGTAATTAACTGCGAGTTAATGATGGTCTCCTGCCTCTAGCTCTCACGCCGCATCCTTAAATTGAGACGCCGCGTATAATATAAATGGACAAAGAAAATTTAATTAGCCGGAATTCGCGCTAATTGACAACTCGAACGAAATATGCGCTATCGCAAAACCGCGAATGTTCAAAGGGCGTGATTTTTCCAGATAAAATTCGTGGGAAATTCACTCGCGCGCGAAAAAGGAATTTTTTCGTCGTAAAAAACGTATCGATACGCGATCGATAATGTTCTTTGAGTGTCCCCTTCCCCTGAAATTTTGTCAAGTTTCATCGTCGGAGACTTTGTCACCGATCGAATGAAGTGAGAGACAAACGAAAATAATCACGCCAAATTTCAACGACCGCCACAAATGTCGCCTACTTTGAAAGCAAAAAGCCGGCGATTCAGTTGCCGCACGACTGCTGCGTTAAAGCTTTTTTTTTATACCGATATCCGGTCCGCCATCAATATCGCATCGTGGCGCGTCGTCGTAATCGACGGACGAATATTCCATAATGCTTCCAGATTACCGCTCGAACCTCCCGTCTCACCTCCTCTCTTCTCCACTCCCCCTCCCCCCGAGCTATAATTATCCGCGGCAAATTGACCCGGCGGACTAATTCCAACCGCGTCTCGTTCCGCCTCGATTGCAAATCGCCGGCTGCGCGATCGAAAACATGCGTCGCACGATTTCCCCAGGAACGTCGTCGCCGATTCGTCGCGGAGTCAAGAGTTCGCCGAAGACCGCGCGTACTTCGCGTCCCTTCCTGCCCCGAACGACCCTCTGCGTCCTCAGCTATAAAAATCGCAGCGAGAACGTCTTCTGCGACTGGCACTCTCTTCATGATGCCTATTTACCACCCCTCCTTTTCTTCACCGTAATAAACCGCGAGAACTAGCATCCAATTTACTCGAGTGGACGAGTAAAGCGTGGTATACGGGGCGTTCCGGAGATCACCCGATGCCCCATTAATCGCGAATTCTGTAGAATCGATTTTTCCTCTGACGCAGGTGCTCCCCTCGAAAAGAGGAAAAGAAAACGACTGTCGTAGGATCGTTCAGCGATTGGCAAACAAGAGTTGAGACACGAGCTGAGTCCCGGCGAGGAAAACGGACAATGGATCTACACATCACATACCATTCGACGTAACAGTCTTAACATTTGCTATAAGCCTAGTTTTTAGAATTTCAACAAAATACAAAAGAATTTCCTCGACCTGAGGTCTGCGGCGTAAGTCATAATCCCTCTCAATGTTCACATCGAGGCGAGATCGATACCGAACTGATTCAAGAAGAACGCGGTTGGGAGGACATCCGGTGAGATGTTCTCTGGAACACCTCGCGTAAGTGAGTCCGATCTCCGTGGTTGATTTCCACACGAAATAACGAACGTGCTGTTTGTAGAAGTTTTCCGGCCGTGGAGGACGGAGGAGTCGGGACACGACCCGAACGATTGTATGAATATTTCTGAGTCTATCACGCCGCGGAGAATGAGATTTCTCGTTGAAGGAAATTCGCTTCGCTCCTCGTCGCGTTTCGCTTAACTGCCGATCTCCCTCGAATTTTGTTATTTCATCCGCACCGGCGAGATTCTTGAAAATTCATTTTGCCAGCCATTGCCTTCGGAAGCGTTCATTACGACATATCGTCTCGGCTTGTGTGTTATTTTGTGACTCCGTATTATATTTTCATTCGATTATTTATGGATATATTGGCAGAATTTTATTGTCCGCGTTATACTTCGATAGTTTTATCTTGACGATTATAAGACGTTTCAATTTTGCAACATTTATGAGATCTTAATCGCACGTAAATAAAGAAAATTTAAGCTGAGGGTAATATATTTTGCATAATAGATATGCAAAATTTATTATTTTGGGGATTTGTTAGGGGATACAATACACGGTAGGAATAGAGAGAGAAAAGAAAAACTGAGACAAAGACAATTTAGTTTCACTTTCAGTTACTCGGCTCTTGTGGCGGAGAATAGCGACTACGTGATACTTAACGAACAGATTTTGGACAGATTCTTAACATTCTCCGCGCCACATACTTGAAGAGACGATATTTCTTCTTTTCGCGCACACAAAACAGGCAAAGGCTTCTAATTTGCAAGTCGATTCGTATAATTTTCGTATAAAAGTTTTCGCGCGCGCGCGTCAAATTGATTCCACGAAAGCGATCCCCAGCAAAGGAGCTGGCAAACACGTACAAAGACACGTACACGCGCGCACATTTCAAGTAGCGAGTGCGATCGCGTCAGGGCGGGCGCGGGCGAGAGAGAAGCCAGCACGAGGTGGCGCGCGTCTTTTCGCGAAACCCCGAAGAAGTCCTGCGGCGAAGAAGGACCTCGCGTTTGCGCAGGACCCGCCAAATGGAATTTTGCGCCCTAGAGGTCCCGATACAACCCTGCGGTGGATGGCGAACGCTACCCCGGATTGTTCAGTTCAGTTCAGTCGCCATCCGATCCAAGCTCGCCGGGCATCGCCGTGTCACCCACGTCACTGTTATCAGCAACAGGTAGGAGAACACAGAGGCGTCTCCCGCCGACATACGCGCGTGACGTCCGCGAATTTTGCCATATCGCGGGACACCGAGTGCGCGAAAGTGACAGATCGGAAGCGGGATCGATTTAACTTGGAGATACGTGAGCGCACGTCGGTCGCGTCGCGATTTCCGTCAGAGCCGGCGAAATTGGAAAAATCGCGTCGCTTTGCCAGGTCGATATTCACGCTTGTGAACGTGGTGACGGTATGTGGGTGCGAAACGTGTAAACCGAGGCTGAACGCGTCCGGTTGAAGGACGGTTTGAGGGGGAAAGCTGAGGCACCCCGAACACAGTCACATCCTACACTGAGAAAAAATCTTTGGCATTTGTACAAAATAATCACACACAGAAAAGTAATCACTACAAATACGAGAGAAATAATTACTGCAATTATTATACAGTCGAGAAAACCATTATTTTTTATTAAGTTCTGTTGTAATATTTTGTGGTGATAATAACTTCATGTGCATGTCACCATTACCATTTCTTCGTGCTAAAATAATCAAAATATAAGATTGGAGCCAAAAATAATTATAATTTTAGTTAGATCGACTATTTTTTTTCTCTCGGTATATTGCCAACGAGAAAGATAGCTTTGCTTCTTTCTTCTTTTTCCCTTTTTCAAAAGAAGAATGAAATTCGGAAGATCGTATCAAGAATGCACACACGCATTGTAAGTTAAAAATGTCATTAAGTCTCGATGCTTAATGATTAAAGCACGAAATATTATTTCTGTGTGAATAAGAGGGGAGAAGGAAATCGCGAAGAGTAGGAACGACGTAGTGACGTGTTTGACATGCCTTGACAGTACGTCGGTTCGAAGATATTAACGTGAGTAACGATCGGAAAAATACATAATAAAGCCATTATTACTCATTACAAGAGCACCAAATCGGGTAGATTCATCTGGCGGTAGGGAAATGAGCAATTTATTTCGCTCCTGAATATATGTAAATCACGATGTTATAACGTACGAATTAATTGACGATATTTACCTGGAACGTACGAAAATTCCGACGGAGTAGATATTATAATGTTACTCCGAGGACAAATTTTGTGGGAGATGTATTTTCAACCAAAAACAAATAAAAAATAAGTAGTCCTGATGCAATAAAAAACTGAAGAACAGCAGCACGCTGACTCTGCTGGGATTGACGCAAGACAACATAATTTCATAAGATCCATCTCTGTGAAGATCTTCACGACATTAAGAGCAATTGGATTATTTCTCAGTATATCTTCTAAATTTCGTTTCAAATTGTAGGCCTCAAATGCTCCTTCAAAGTTTGCAACATAGCGACTATCGTTCCAAAAAGGTTCAGGTTCTATTCTTACAGATTACATTTTTTGTAAGGATACACATTTTGCTGAATAAAGATTGAATGTGTTTTCAGATGAAATGTATATTGCGGAGTTACATTATCATTTTTATTTTCTGATAAGGGGTCAAATATATATGGTTGCTATCTTGTGGACTTTTTTGCTGAATATTAGCAAAAAAGATCAGGATGTGATTCATTTTGATTTTTGGAAATTTGAGTTTTTGTTGGTTCTTTTACTGTTTTTGAAATGATTTTACGATTTTTGAGAAAGTTGGGTGTGATTTTTCTATGTTTTTTTTATTGAAAATGCATCTCCCACAAGATCTGTCCTCGAAATAACATTATAATAATATCTACTCGACGGGAAGAGTAAATATCGTGGGTTGATGTGTAACGGATCTTAAGAAAAAGGGGGATATAATTTGAAAGATACATGAGATGCTGTAGTAAAGATCGTAGTTTGCCGCGCGGGTATGCAAGATACTCGAAATTTTATCGTCCTCCATCCTCCAATGCGAAGGTCGCCGAATCGAGCGTGAAAGACCAGTCGCCATGGACATCGAAACGTTTCGCGCCCGCGGTAAGCAGATGATAGAGTACATTTGCGAGTTCGTGAGCACTATTCATACCAGGAGGGTCACGCCAGACATTGACCCCGGCTATCTCAGGCCTCTGCTGCCGTCAGAGCCGCCGAATGATCCGGAGTCGTGGGATGAGATCATGAAGGACGTGGAATCGAAGATCATGCCGGGGGTGAGTATTCGAGAATACCGCCTCGGGGCGGTATGAGAGGAGGAATGAGTTCCGCGAAACATACCGGGAATATGTAGAATTGTCGTGCGATCTGACCGTAATTGGGAGAGATAAAGTAATTAAAATTTTCCGTTCATTATACTGCCTCAATATGTACTTCCTTCTCTTTTTCTCTCTCATACACACACATACATTTTGTTCAATGATTTCGGCCGCGATCGGGCATTCCATCATTCAATATTTACTCATTCGTATGAAAAATGCTTCATCTCTCTCAGCAAAAGTTCAAGGCTGCTGTAAATTTCACGTAGATGATTTTCTAGCAGATACAAAAGAAAACAGCGATAAATTGTAATTGTGACATTTAGAATTCTACCTGAATTAGCAAGATATTTTTTTTTATTTATATAATACGAGTACGATGATTTTTGCATGTATTGTTGGAAAAAAATGTCGTGAAGTCAGTTGCAGATTTTCTTAGGTCTGCAAATGTGAGTGTAAACTGTAAAGTACGCTTCTGCGAGCCGAATGAACTTTCTTCCAGATCACGTATTGGCAGCATCCAAGGTTCCACGCCTACTTCCCGGCGGGAAATTCCTTCCCCTCTATTCTCGGTGATATGCTGTCCAACGCGATCGGCTGCATTGGATTTTCTTGGGTGAGCGAGAGATCTTCTTCGGGGGTGCGGTCTAAGAAACCACGGGGATGAATCTCGCGCGAGGCTATAATTAAACTAGTGGTCGTCGCTCGACAGAACGCGCGGCCGTTCGACCCGCTTTGATTTTCTCGTCGACGTCACAAGTCTGGGCACGGTCCGATCTCGCGTCAAATTCACGTGACGGATCGCGCCCAATTATTTGCTCGATGGTGCCTGAGCTCGAATCTTGTTTGCTTTAGGCGGCCAGTCCAGCCTGCACGGAACTGGAGACGATAGTCTGCGATTGGTTCGGTAATCTTCTCTTTCATGATACCTTCATATTAGAATGTCATGATATTTATTAGGCGCGCGACTTCGCGAACCGTTAAATTCACCCCGGTGACGCATCGTCCTTCTGAAATCGCAGGCAAGGCAATCGGGCTGCCGACGGACTTCCTGTACTTCAGCGAAGGCAGCAATGGCGGTGGCGTTATACAGGTATCGCCAAAGACATTCATTTGACATTCAGGATGATACAAAGTGCACTGTGATAGACAGGATGTCGCAGAGTCGTCGGTCTCGTTTTTTTGCTTCAGCATTTTCAGATTTCTGCTTATTTTCAAATCGATTTCTTCACGAAGATGTGAAGATTGGTCGTTAATTTCGTTAATTATACTGTTCAAAGAGTCACAGAGGAAAAGAAATTGGACGAAACATTCCTCTCAGAATATTTCCTACTCAGAGAAAAAGACATGATAATGTCTTAGACATATAAATGACAACTATACGAGTTTAATATGTATTAGAATTAAGATACATAATTTATTAAATTATTTCTTAGTTGTAACATATTTAACTATAAAATAGTTTATTAACTCTTCATGTACATCGGGAAAAAAATACTTGAAAATGTACATGTGGGATATGAAGTTTATTTACGGAAATAAACTTTATTTTGCAGAAATAAGTCTTATAAATAAGTTTTCAAGTATTTTTTCTCAGTGTGCAATTTGGATCTGTGAGACTCCAAAGAATATTTGATCACTCATCAACTTCCGAAAGTGGTCCGGGAAAATTTCAAAATGGCGCAAATCTGTTTACAAATTTGGATTTTATTGCGCTACTATCTTATAGCTAAAACTCTTCTATATCTCTAGAAAAAGTGTCCAAAAATATTGATTTTCGAAACAGTTAAATATGGTAATTCAAAGTTGCATAGGTCTGACAGATCTAGATTGCAGTACATGTCCCAAAGAATATGATCCTACGCGAAATAATTAAACTATAGAACAAATATAGGAAAGTGTCTATATTCTAAAAAGAACATATCGCAATTTCTTTTCCACTGATTCTCTCACAATGAATCGCGTGGCCAACATGAACCTTGGGCCAACTCGATCGGCTTCGCCCTCTCAGTCCGTTGAAATCAGATGAACACTGCTTTAACAGAATGTCAACGTACGACTTAATCGCGAAGAGACTCGAAGGCAAGTAAGGAATTGAAGAATCATGAAGACTAATGGCTCACGGGGAATTGACGTTAAAAATCGTCCGGCGATTCTGAGACAGTCTGTATAAACGTATTCGATATAAAGGATTCAATAACGGTGAAAAATACCTCAATACCGAGTGCTAAAAGCACCACGGCCGCTCGGCCGTGTCCAACGCTCGTGACTGAAATTAGAATTACGACACGCGGAATCTCGGGCGGCGCGCGAATGTCAAAGGTCGATTAACGAAACTATATAGGGCTCGGCGTCGGAATGCGTCCTCGTGTGCATGCTGGCCGCTCGGGCGCAAGCAATTGCTAGGCTCAAGGCATCCCCCGCGTACGCACACTTGGACGAAACTGTGCTGCTCGGCAAGCTGATGGCGTATTGCAGCCGGGAGAGTCATAGTTGCGTCGAGAAGGACGCGATGATATGCTTCGTGACGTTACGCATCCTCGAGCCCGACGAGAAGAGCGTGCTGCGCGGCGAGACCTTGCAGCAGGTGCGTTTCCCGCAACATCGTTGACCCTTTAAAGCCCAGGCATCGATCCCGTTCAAGTTCCTTTCTTCACGAAATAGTCGCAAAAGAAACTCCAGATGAAGAGTTTTGTGGTCAGAATAAAAGTGACTGTTGCGAGAAATATGATTTCCTGATCTAAATATATGTATATTCATGTCTACACACGTGATGAAATGCTCATTTGCGCATTTTCTTCCCTATAATGTTTATATTCCAAGTGAAGAAAAAGAAATCTGAATAAAAATAATTGACGAATTTTGACGCATTTAAAGAAACTCAAATAATGATTGAATTGTCTAAGATGCGACAAATCAATGTAATTCGGGAGATATATATCTTCAATTTCGTTTCATTGGCTCTCTATTAGTCGTCAACCGACTCTTCAGCTGCAATTAATTATACTTAGCATATCTAACTCAATGAAACATATAGTGATATCATGTAGTGTCAATTATCAGTAATCATCGCGATGTTTAACGTGTTAATGAACTGTATTCGTTAGCATAACGCGGTAAAATTACGGGATAATAATTTAGACTTGTAATATAGCGATGCCTTCAGAATCCATTCTCGTTTCATCGCGCTTCGATTAACAGGCGATCGAGAAGGACATAGCTCAGGGCTACGTTCCTTTCTTCGTCTCGACGACCCTCGGTACAACCGCCTGCTGTTCGTTCGACAACCTCAAGGAGATCGGGCCGGTTTGCAAGAAATATCCAGGGGTGAGTGTGGCATTACGCTCTCTGAATTTCTTGAAGTAAAACTTCACTCAAAACGAGTGAAAAGTGACAATATTCTTACTCTACTTTTCGAGTGAAGTTTTATTCCAAAAAATTTAGGTCCGTATTAATAAATGTTACTTGAGACTTGTTTCGAGTAAAATACTGAGATTTGAGTTCAGAGTTAGATTAAAGGTTTTCAGTTGAGTCGCGATTACAGATATGTCACATATATCGTGTAAGTCTTGGCAAACTTGGTAAACTGGTAAACTTAGATCTAATTTCAAAAAAAACCTGTGTATCTTATGTGAGACGAACTTCAAGTGACGAATATTAATGCAAGCCTTAGAGAATATACACTTGACGACAATTTCAGTTTGTCGATCGCTCTTCTCGTTACTTGTATAATTTCACAAATGTATCAAGAATTTGTGTCGTAGGTCTGGCTTCACGTGGACGCCGCTTACGCTGGCAATGCTTTCATTTGTCCGGAATTGAAATACTTGATGGCGGGCATCGAGTACGCCGATTCATTCAATACCAATACCAACAAGTTTCTGTTGACAAATTTCGACTGCTCCTGTCTTTGGGTGCGCGACAGGTTCAAGCTAACCAGCGCTCTCGTCGTGGACCCATTATACCTCAAGCACACCCATGCGGACACGACTATAGATTATCGGTAACTTTAATTGTGCTTGCAATTACACGATTCTAATATCGTTAAATTAAACTGAATGTCCGAAACCAAACGAAGAGATACTTTTTTAATGAGATCGCGCATCTTCCTTCACATAAATATATTCTCTTTATCAATCTATGTATAAAAATATTAAGCTAAAGTCAACGAAAAGTGAATGCCTCGTATATTTTACGTTTTGTTTTAACATATTCTAACATAAGAGTTAAAAAATATTTCATGAATCATCTATTTTTTGTCGATCCTCTCTTAATCCTTTGAGCCGTACATTTTATTTCTCAGTGAAGTTTCTTCGAATATGAAGTCGCTAATTACGAATTTGAGATCAGAAAATTAAAATTTGAAATGGCAAATCTAATATGGCAACTGTAAATTTTCATATCAGCAATTTCGTTTTTAGCATTATCCAGAAAAGACGAATAAGTGAGTTAAAATCACTTAAAAATAGAGAAAAGATAGATAGAACGCTAGAATTGCATTATATGGCTCAAAGGTTAATACTCACTACACAGAACTATTTGCGAGAGATAAATAGAGATAATAACACATAACCAGGCACGTGTGGTACTGACACACCTATGACTAATTAATAAGTTTGAAATTGCTTTACAGACACTGGAGCATACCGCTGAGCAGGCGATTCCGTTCGCTTAAGCTCTGGTTCGTAATAAGATCTCACGGAATATCCGGCTTGCAAGCTTACATTCGAAACCACGTGCGACTCGCCAAAAGATTCGAGGCCCTCGTTAGGAAGGACTCCAGATTCGAGGTCTGCAACGACGTAGTGGTAAGAGAAAATATCCCATCGGAAAATACCTCGTACGCTATATATAAGTCGAGTTCGTAATATCGTGTTTTTCGTCGTTGTATAGCTGGGTCTGGTGTGCTTCCGCGCTAAAGGCACCGATAAGCTAAACCAGAAATTGCTGAGCGCCATTAACGATTCCGGAAAATTGCACATGGTCCCGGCGCAGGTCAATCAACGTTACACGATACGCTTCGCGCTTGCTGCACCTAACGCGTGCGGCGAGGACATCGGTAAGTTGTTTGTACATACTGTGAGAGAAAAAGCGTCTATGAAATAAGAAATATTTATTCGATGGCTACTAATAATATACGCATACACAGAAAAAGTACACATTCAAGTGATATTACATACATTATCAAGAAAATATTCTTTGTTGAAGATGACCAAAAGGAGGAAAATAAACTGAGTAGGTTTTCTCAGCAGTAGAATGATATTTTTCTCTATGTATTTGTGCTACAATAAAATATCTTTCACATAAGAAAATATATTAAAAACTTAGCTTTTCCTGAAAGCAATTATTTATTCCATGAATTCCAAGAATTTAAATTTAAGCAATACATTAAGGATACCTCACCGAATAAACATTTTTTATTTCGTAGATATTTCTTCTCGCACGTATACTTAACATGATGTAATTCACTCCTTTTCTTTTCATTAAAAATTTAAGTATCGTATATTTCACTCCCCCTAAATTCGTCGAACGAAACTTTTTCTTCCTCTGAGAAGAATGGAAGTGTGCAATTAAATTTTTCAAATTTTCTCGAGAAAATGCATGTACATCGTTTCGAATTAATGCTGTAATATTTAAGATGTCGCGTGGAGCATTATAACGGATTACCTGGCCGAAATCTTGGAATCTAAGGTGAGTTGAGACACAACTATCTTAATGCTGTAAGGGGAGAATTTCCGTTTATCAAGGGTTCATTGAAAACGCCTCCTAGGACGTGATGGACGAGCTAGCGGACATTCGCGAGAAGAAGAGAAAGGCCACTCTGGAACAGCGGAGATCCTTCTTCGTGCGTATGGTGTCTGACCCTGCGATTCAGCCGGGCTTCACCAAGACCCCGAACAGATCCAAGCTCGACACGCAAACGACGATCGGCGGTGCCGGATCGAATACTCAGACCGGAACGTGAGTTGATTACGTTGCTCGGTTAAGCCATCTATGTACGTTCGAGAATAATTGGATTAAATCGTCCTAATCTCGTTGCAGGCGCTCTTGGATATCCTGGCCGCTTGAGTACCTGATGCAGGCAAAGGAAGCTGCTGATAGAAGCGAAGTATCGCTTAGGTTTGCTCCTATTTCCTCACTCTTGATCTAAATCTATTTCTTTGAAGCATTAAGTTACAGGTGTCATTTACGAATTCTTTCCGCGCGATTTTCACTTTAACGGAAGATCATTCAATGTCGGGCTGATTTTCTTTCGCGAGAAATACGTCCGTAGAGCGTTTAGAAATTCAGTCAAAGTTTCAAAGAGCTTCCTCGCGTAAAAGGGTTTCTCTCATGTGCTAAAATAAGTGAAAAAGTAACGTCGCACAAATTTAGCGTCACGCGCTTACGGTATTGCATTATAGCGTGAACAGCGTCGCCGTGTATGTGTTGTTTGTGTGTGTGTGTGTGTGTGTGTGTGTGATGTCACACACTTCCGACGCCGATATCACGGCCGCCACTGTTATGCGTACCTACAATGTACTTGTTTTATCTTATCTCGTTAAACTGATCACTGCTGTAACGCAGTTCGGTCCCGACTGAGATAAACTGAGTTTACAAGTTCGATTCAGAATAAAGTTCAGCGCAAAGGTGAACTCGAAACGCGTATTTCAGTATTTACTTGCCTATTCGGTGACCTTTTAACGATAATAACACCTTCATTACGCGTCTCATCGCGCAACTATAATATATCACATAATAGCCGCGCGGCGAAACTTAACGGTAGAAAGTAATATCGTTCAAAGTTACATGATAAATTCATTGACGCTTTCGCCAGTATTACGCCAGTATTTGGTCGTGTCTTTTCAGGTTTCGCCACTTGGACACCATGGTGCGCCTGAAGGCTGGCGGTACAGGAAGTCGTCGCGGCAGCAGCAACGGATGCAGCCCGGAACCATCCCCGTCCGCTTCGCCCTCGCGTGGCAGATCACCCAACGGCAGGGCGTAATCGTGTTACGCTCGCACGACGATCCTTCTTTATTCGCGCGATCCCACCGAGGAGTCCTCCAGACGTGTTGACGGGCGACTCCTTGTGCTCGCCAAGAAAGCCGTTCCGGAGAGACAGATAGAGAAGGAACCTAGTTAGTTACCACTTCACACCGGGAACTGATAACTGCCGACGATCTCGATATCAAGATCCATCTTATACGAGCTTGCAGGCCAGAATCAAAGAACTTGTTTCTAGGCCGTCGAGAGCCCATATTTTTAAAATTGTATATTCCGTCAATAACAGGAAAATTCTACATGACTCACTCAGAAGTGGACCTAGTCGTAGTCTAACAACATATGATTTATGTTCTCAAAAAATATGGACTCAAGACAATTCCCACGTAATGTGATCGTTGGTCTTTGGAAATGTAGACTCGGTAGACAGTCTACAGATGAGAGAGAACTTTTTGCAGCTCAGGATAGTATTCTGCCTACGTAATTCCATGTGTCAAATTGTAGATGCAATTATGATAAAAAGAAATGAACTTTTCTGCGGGATGATGTTTCCCCCACCAGGGAGATGATTCAAGCACGATAACTTTATTATTAAGACGTCTCATCGTTTCGTCGTTAAGTGATAAAATACATAGATTTAAAAGGATTAATGTTGGAATTATTACTGTTAGACAATCGAAAGAAAGAAACTTTATAGTTACTTAATAATTGCTTGTACTTGTTACATCAAATTGCACGCAGGATTCCGTCTAGTAAATTTACAGATAGTCTAAAATGAGTTTAACGAAGAACAAACTCCGCACAAAATTGCTCAGTGAAGAATACGATCGCATGCAGTGGTTTCTTTCGATCGGCACGAAATTAAATGCGCTTTAGTCGCGACCAACGCGTGTCATCTCTTCCGAAATTCCCGAGACCATGAAACCTCGCAACAATGTCGTCTGGGAGATTTATGGCGTTTCTTACGCGCCCTTTTATGTCGTTTCTTGAAACGTTCACATTATCCGGGCAACATGTTCTTTCATTCTGGCGGGATTTCCCGACACGCGCGAAAAAAGAAGGAGAATAAACCTCGAAATGAAATAAAATATAACGTAGACATGTGTAATAGAATGTGGACGAAAAAGCATAGTGAAATATACACTATAACGCACCCAGACACAAATCACTGGAAGAAATTGGTTATCAGCCTGGAGAGTTTAGGAAATACCTAATTTACACTTTCAACACGTCCCGTCCGTGCCGATTCCGCGCGACTTTCCATTCGGATTGTGCGAGAGACGGAGGCGCGTTGCCGAATTTATTATTGTAATATAATACGTTGGCGACGTCTTAAAATATTTATAACACCGCAAAATTCGTTCCTATTAAAACAAAAGAGCGAAGTATGCTGAGCTTCAAGTCGACACTTTAACCCTTTCGTTACTAACGGGACATATATATTCAGATATTTCCCTAACCGTTAATATTCACCTTATTCAATTGAACAAACAGCTTTTTGGCATTCAGAATATATTATTTTATTTATTGTATCGCCGATGATCCCGATGGAAGGAGTATCGGTGCTCATGAACGCGTAGTAACGAACGCGGGAAGTAATTAAAGCGAGTTGACGGGCTTTTTGGCAGGCTTTAGGCGTGTCGCTCGCGCTAACGACGATATTGACGAAATTATTATTTTGATGGTGTGAATCGCGCGCGGTGAGTGCGTCTCCGTACGACGACCCTGGTTTTCCGCGTGCGGATTCTTGGACGAAGAATTTCGTATCGATTTTTTAGAACAAATATGCCTTCTCGAGAACCCCTGTGGGATATCATCAGTATTCCATATCTCTATCCCTTTGACGCCAAACATAAAACTTTTAATTTTTTTTTGCTAAAACTGCATTATATATTTAATGAAGTGAACAAAAATTGTACCTTTAAAAAATAAAATTAGTAGAGCGGAAGGGTTAAGGAATATAATATTATCGTCAATTTTTTTGCTCTTGTTATACTTCGCACAAATAATTACGCGTTTGACATAAATTCATTGGCAAATTTGTGAGCAAACTACGGACAATCGAATGTATCATCCATAAATTTCATATAAATTCGCAAGTGGAGGTACCAGATTTTCACACACATTGACCCACGATAACTATTCAGATGATACGTATGATAACCATGTGCCAATATGTTGATAATACCATCAAATATTTCAAGATTTTACTTATGAGCGTCGGATGACCCGAAAAGTTCAGCGTAGGGTGGGCCGAACAGCACAGAACGTGTTTTATCATGTGTCTCGAGAAGCGAAAGCTATAAATTCTATTTCATAAAGATGAAAATAATCACTCGAATTGAAGACCCGTTGGAATAAAGTCGCCTCGAAATTGAAGAAAGCACTTTACTGTTTCCTTGCGCAACCCCGAAATTTCGTTCTTGCCGGCTCGAAAACTGGGATCGATGGCACGACATCTTTCACGCGAAGAAAAATCGATACGAAATTCTTCGCCCAAGAATCCGCACGCGAAAGATCAGGTTCGTCGTATGGAAACACACTCACCGCGCGTGATTCACACCATCAAAATAATAATTTCGTCGTTAGCGTGAGCGACACACACAAAAGTCTGCCAAAAGGCCCGTTAACTCACTTTAATTACTTCCCACGCGTTCATGAGCACCAATGCTCTCTCCACCGGGATTATCGGCGATACAATTCGAAAAACCGGATGCGAGCAGACCATGCGTGAAGGTGGCGATGAGAAAACCAGTGGTCGACGGCATTCGGCGCGCCTGTGTGTATTTGTGTGTATGTTTACGTGTACATATATATATATGCATATGTATGTATGTGTGTGTGTATTACGAAGATTGAGCGGTGACCTGTCACCGCTTCCACGGGGTGTTGTAAATGTAGGTGAAGAGTAAATGTCTATTTATAAAACGGCAGGGTAGGAGAGCGCGGAGCAGGGGTGCGGGGAGTCGGCGGGGTAGAATTTACCCCCCGTGTGGTGGCGCGGAGCACGGCACAAACTGTGTATGGGCGTTTATTCAAACGGAGAGCTCGCTATAGAGCGACGCCCAGTAACCATTGATGTGCTGCGCTTGCCGCACCAGCTCGCGAATTTTCCCATTGGAACTGACTGACCGGCTGCATCGTTCGATGGAAGTTCGAGGGTCGCGTCAAGGGAAGGAGTCGATCGCGAGCTGATAATGGGACACAATGGTAACGGCACGATGACTGTCGCCGAGGTCGTCCCGACTTATTTTTTTTGTCTCTTTCCTTCTGCCGGAGTTTTTTAGCCGTCGATAAGAGCGCATTTGTTTCCCGGTAGTGCGTAGTGTAAAGAAGAAACGGAGAGAGAGAGAGAGAGAGAGAGAGAAATATTTAAGAAATAAAAAATTATTCATTCGGTGGGCACCAATGACACACATGTTTGCTTATACACTGATATAAAATATTTTTTAAATTATACAATATACATTTTTTTAAAACCTTAGGGGTTTTCGTGAAAGCAATTTTTTGTTTTATTTAAATAAAATAATTTATATTAAAGTATCAATATATTGTTTTGCAGCTTATATTTAAGTAAAATTTAAGTATTAGTACCCACTGAATAAATGTTCTTTTACTTCTCAGATACTTTTCTCTCAGTATATACTTTTTCTCTCGCGTTCTACATGAAGAAAATATTCAAGTAGAAATTACAACAAGATGTTGTATAATTTTGGATCATACATAATTATGATCGAAATTACTGTATATTTGTTTAAAAGTTAAAAATTTTGCACATACGTTCGAAGAAGCACGTTTGCGTTAGAGTGTGGCCCGTGAAAATTATTACATGTCGGAAACACGAAGCATTCGAAGATGTTTGAGAAGAAAACCATTGAATAACTTATTCATAAATAATTAATCCATAGTAAATAATATCACATATATGACGTGTCTTAACGCCGACCGTTCGCAATGCGGAGTCACCGCATTATATTTTTATCGTTTTTGTTTACCTTCGGGAGAAAAAAAGGATCTCGTGAATGTTAAAAAGATACCGTATGGGATAAGAGAAAAATCGCCACAGCGATGAGGCGTGGTGATTGTCTGCTTGAACTTAATTCAGACGATCTCTTGTTGTAATCGAACTTTGTTTATTAAAAAATTTCGTTGCGCTTTCCCCAGCCCTCTCTCTCTCACACACACACATGCACAAACATACATACATTCTCTCTCTCTCTCTCTCTCTCCTCCACCTTAATTTTATCTGCGTGATAGCAGGGGCGTACGGAGTCGAGGCGCGCATAAAACTGACCGGCGCTTCGGCAAGTGCTACTAGTCTCTCGTCTGACGTGGTTCGCGGCAAATGTTCGATACGTGCGAGGGAAAATCGCGCCGCATCCGCGAGAATACGGACACACGTACGTTCGCGCGGCCGACTGTGGGACACCGATTTCCCGGCAAGGTGGAGCGACTTTTCGAATGGTAGCGGAAACGAAACGTGAGTGCATGTATTACCACCGAGGCTCGTTGACGACTTCCGTCGCAGCTCGCTCTTTCGCTCCTTCTCGATTCTTCTTCCGAATCGCGTCTCAAACTAATTCACTCGCGCAGACCCATTCAGCAAGACCCGCGATTTTTCCGCGATTTTCAACTGGTAAACTACTGGCCGCTCGCTTCGCCTCCCGCTCTCCCCGATTCTTCCCAAATTGCGTCTGTATGATATCTGTGCTTGGTCAGACGAGGAAATTTGGCAGAGAGGATCGACTTCTACGACGAGGTGGAGGGGTTTTGCGAAAAGGAAACGCGAATTCATCGGCGAGAGCCTTCTTCGAAAGTGACCGCGCTCCGTCTGTTAATCATCTATTCTCCACTTCGGGTCTTTCAAAATCACGTGTTAAAAATGTCACGTGCGATGGAAGTACTTTGGTATTCGAGTAGATTCGACATACGGAAAAAGAATTTTAGTTCGCGCTAATTGTATGATAATTGAATAGGGAACAGAAAAGAAATAATATCCACGTTATCGCGATTGAAAATATTCGTCTAAACATTCAGTTGTGTTGAAACTCGATTGAGGTAACTCAGAGCAATCGGCTGAGTAGAAACTTTCTGTAGGAATCCTTCTGTTCCTACAACCGCTTTTTATCAGGTTCCCGGGTACAGAAAATTACGGTACATTAACGGTGTTGTTTTTTCCGTGTGCGCGACGCAACGATTTCTCACGGGAGACCGGCGTCACATACGATAATTTTTCATTCTTTGTCCGCATAAATGAAGCCTTATTTATACTGTTGCATTAAAGAATACAGAGTGGCTGAGACGATTTACCAGTGAACAGTGGTAACGGACAGTATTAGAAACTGCTGGCCTCCGCGGATTCAAATTTCCGTGAGATCATCGCAAATATAAAGTATCTTTATTCGCCCGATCTCACGTCCCGATACAGATTTGCGACCGTTACGAGTATTGACGTGGGACGTAACATCGCGTTCCACGTTAACGTCATTTTCACGGTATCTTCGGATACTATCATTAGACGCGTGCATCGCGCTTCCTTTTGTACGGGGGAATTAAAATACCGCGAGGAATCCTCCGCGAAATCGCGAGATAGACGCTCCTTTGATGAAGCGAACAATTAATATAAGAGGATAACAAAGAGAAAGAGAGAAAGAGAGAGGAGAAAAGCGCGTCGGCGCGCTGATAGAAACGTTGAAAAAAAGTCACGATCGCATGTGACGTGATACACGCGTATCCGTATTTAATCAGCCGAGCTTTGCCGGCACGCTCAGACGCGTCTCTTGGTGAAAATTGTATTCCAGCCAGTGGTCTATCATGAACATCGATGAGTTCCGGGTGCGCGGCAAGGAGATGATCGAGTACATATGCGAGTACATCCGCACGTTAGAGGGCAAGAGAGTGACGGCGAACGTGGATCCCGGCTATCTGAGACCCCTCTTGCCGAAGGAGGCACCCCTGAAGCCGGAATCATGGGACGCCATCATGAGGGACGTCGACGGCAAAATAATGCCCGGAGTGAGTGTTGCCGTCGTAGTCGCAGATTATCGATCCCCCTCCCTCTCTCCATTGATTTCAACCCCCCTTTTCGATATAAATAATGTTCGCGCACGTGAAAGAGAGAGAGAGAGAGAGAGAGAGAGAGAGAGAGAAAGAGAGAGAGAGACAGAGAAAGAGAATGAGTGAGCGAGAAAGAAAGAGAGAGAGGGACGATTGAGCTGGGTAAAAATCTATCACCCTGTTGTTTCTTCGCCCTGTCGACGTTTTAAAAAACGTCATTTACGCGAGAATAAACAAAGTGACTGTCCCGTGCGCGTTGTCCTCTTCCCGAAAAGTCGTTATTTATGGCGCGTCCTTTATGGGGGAGCTTGAGAAGAATTTAAGAACAGCCCGAGCGCCGTGACGTAAAGCGTATGTGATGCAACGCGTATTATGTAAACCCTGCATGGCAATATAATGATTTCCCTTCAATCAATATTTGATGGTACCTTGCCTCGTGTTGTGCGGTAATATATGGGACATTTTGTAAAAAAACGCTCAAAGCGTCTATAATCTCTATTCAAAGTCTCGCAAACACATCTGATAAAAAAGTGGTAGTACTGATGATTTCCCTTCAGTTAATATTTGACGGTACCTTGGCTTTTGTTGCACGGTAGCACGTGGGAGGTTTTGCAGAAAAAGCATCTATAATTCTCACTCAAAGTCTCACAAACATTACTGATAAAAGAAAAATAGAGTTTGTGTTATCAAGGGTATTACCAAATATCAAGGGTTTACAAAACGTTTATCCTACTCGATTATATCGACGCGAGAGTTCCAGCGACGAGGGTGGTTTCGCGGGCGCGAATTGCCAAATTCGCGTGACAGAAAGTGCTTCAAAAATAATTTCAGCCGTGCACGCTATATGCGGCAGTCGAACGATCAGCCAGTTGAAAAATTGAAGGACAGCGACAGCGTCACCGACGACAACGTGCCCGATCTGCGTTTCCGACGGCGGTGGCGGCGGCGGCGGCGATAAACGCCGCTCGAGAGACTACTCGTGGCTCGTCGTGACTTTTTCACAAAACGAGTTCGTTCTTATGATCCTACACGACGTTATCGCGCTCTGACAATGAAGTCAACAGTCGACTGCCGTAGTCGTCGTCGATGCCGGCGTTTCCGTCGCTGCACAGTCGCTGTCTCTCGCCCGCAGTTTCTCCCGCGGACAGATCAATTTCAGGACACGCAGCAGAGAAGTAGGTTACACGCCGCTGGCTTTACTCACGCGTGGGCGACACTTCTTTGCAGATCACCCACTGGCAACATCCGCGATTCCACGCCTACTTCCCGTCCGGCAACTCGTTCCCTTCGATCTTGGGCGACTTGCTGTCGGATGCGATCGGCTGCATCGGTTTCTCGTGGGCGGCCAGTCCGGCCTGCACCGAGCTGGAGACTATCGTCTTGGATTGGTACGCTAAGGCGATCGACTTGCCAGCTGATTTCCTGTCGGAGCAGAAGACCTCCGCCGGCGGCGGAGTGATCCAAGGCTCGGCGTCCGAGTGTATCCTGGTGACGATGTTGGCGGCGCGCCATCAGGCGATCAAGATGCTGAAGGAACAGGAGCCGAACACGGAGGACTCCGCCTTCCTGCCGCGGTTGGTGGCCTACTGTTCCACGGAGTCGCACTCTTGCGTGGAGAAGGCGGCGATGATCAGCCTGGTGAAGCTGCGGGTGCTCGAGCCGGACGAGAAGGCAGCGTTGCGCGGCAAACGTCTCGAGTCGGCGATCAGGGAGGATGTGGCGAGCGGTTTGGTGCCGTTCTACGTGTCCACCACGCTGGGAACCACCGGGTCGTGCGCCTTCGACAATCTCGTGGAGATCGGGCCGGTGTGCAAGCTATACCCGAACGTATGGCTGCACGTGGACGGCGCTTACGCCGGCAACGCATTCATCTGCCCAGAGATGAGGCCGTTCATGGCCGGCATCGAGCACGCAGACTCTTTCAATACGAATCCCAACAAGTGGCTGTTGGTGAACTTCGACTGCTCTTGCCTGTGGGTGCGCAATCGGGTGAAGTTGACGTCGGCCTTGATCGTGGATCCTCTGTACCTTCAGCACGCGCGCTCAGGCGAGTCGGTGGACTATCGTCATTGGGGTATCCCGCTCAGCAGACGCTTCAGAGCGCTGAAACTCTGGTTCGTGTTGCGCTCGTACGGCATCAACGGTCTGCAGAAGTACATCAGGAACCACATCAGGCTGGCGAAGCGATTCGAGGCGCATATGAAGAAAGACCGGCGGTTCGAGATCCTCAACGACGTACGGGTCGGTCTTGTGTGCTTCCGGCTGAAGGAGAGCGAGGAGATGAATCAGGAACTGTTGGCGAATATCAACGCCAGCGGCAGGCTGCATATGATACCGGCCCGTGTCATGGGCAAGTACGTACTCCGTTTCTGCGTGACGAAGGAGGACGCGGCCGAGGAGGACATCGATTACGCGCTCAACGTGATCGAGGAGCACGCTACAGAGGTGATGTTGGCGCACTACGAGGGCACGGAGGACGAGTATAGGGCCAAAGGACCCAAGAGTCCCGCCTCCTTGGATAAGAAACTCGTGCGGAAGTTCAGCTTCACCAGAAGCGTCACCAGAGATGCCTACAAACGTTCAATTTCCAAGTCTAGCCTGCATGACGGCGCGACGCCCATCATGGTCGTCGACGACAACTCGCAGGTCGACGCTATCGAGGACGATCATTTCCGTAACAGCAGGTACTTCGGTCTTCTTAGTTTGAGCGAATTAGACGCGTTTAAGACTCGCTTTGCATGAAGCCCATCAAAAACGTTACGACAATTATTTCTTCCCCGGGTTTTTTCTCTTTTTAAACGAAGGGATAAGGATAATGAGGCTTTCTAAAAAAATGTGGAATTTCAAAGGACTTGAAGAATATTTAAAGCCGACAATTATTTTTTCCCCGGGTTTTTTCTTTTTTCAAACGAAGGGATAATGAGGCTTTCCAAAAAAATGTGGGATTTTAAAAGACTTGAAGAATATTTAAAGCCGACAACAATAACGATGATTATAGTGACGTTAATTGCCGTTTCAGGTCGTGACGATGTCGATGACGGTCTCCAGCGCCGACTCGGGACGAGGTGGATGATAATAAAAAGGGCCCTCGATACACGGCCGTATGATTTGGAAGCATTGACGGTCTGCCGTGGCCGGTTTGGTGATTTCCGAGTTCGCAATTCCCGATAAATGACTATTCACGTCGCCACGTAAGTGTTTAGCCGAGTCGTTCCATCCGGATGAAGTTTGTCGGATTGCTATTCGAAATGATCGCTCGACAACGTTTGTTCTCTCTCGCACACGAATGATTCTTCGTGGCGACACACAGACTGCGTCGATGATGCTCCTCGACATTGAGCCAAGTTCTCTGATAAAGCGTCGGAGATTGTGACATCCTCGAGCTCACTTTCTAGACGCTCCGAAATCAGCGACGAAAGTCGAGAGGCACAATATGAATAATAAGCACAATAATATAAGAAATCTCTCTGTGAATATAGAGAATGCAATGCCGCGCAATATTATATTACTTATTTATATCTCTTACTAACAGAAAATATATCTTTTCGAGACAAAATTATTGTCTCAATATTTAAAATATTGAGACATTAACATTTTAATATTTGTCTTGAATATTTAAAATATTCAAACTAATATCCAAATAATTAAAATTATATTCGGGAGACTTTAATCTCATATCATGTTGATCTCAAAATCAGACCTGTCACGATATTAAAAATAAGATAACAGTCACAGCATAAAATTATAATACAATCCACATTTTAGCAAATAGTGTGACGTGATATTTATCCTTCACATTCATACGGGGACATACATTCGGGGAACACGAATGCAACTTGCGAAGCCGGGAGGAACGCTTTCTCTTCCGATGTGATCATTCGGTTAGGCGTCAATGAAAGGAAAGCTCGAATCATATTGGTGTTTTTAAGCAAACGCCTAAGTCGCGACACTCGCGACGCGAAATCAAACAATGCGTCTTTTGATCTCGCGATTGATAAACACAAAAGAAGAAACATCAGTATCGAGCTTTCCTTTCATTGATATCCAACCGACGAATGATGATGACTAAAGAGGAATGGCGCGTGGAAGAGGAAGCGGACTGCCCGGTCCCACAAGTTGCATTCTAGACTTTATGTTCCCCGAATGTATATCTGCAACTCGACATGGATAAAACGACATAGATGTAATTCTGTCTCGAATTTCGTTCTGAATTACGGATCGTCTAAAGTGAACTTTAGAGACGACTGCACGCGTTAACTCTTATGTCAATATCCAAAAGTTTCACGTTAAATCAATACCGGTAGTCGGGTACCTCATGGAATTTGTCATTATTACAAACAGAAAAAGAGAAGTTTGCGTAACGGTCAACGTCCTTCCCCTTTTGACTAAATAAATTTGATATATAAATTATAAATTTGATTAGTGCGATATACAGTAAGATGAAAGATATTTTTTGGACCAAAGTCCAAAACCTGGTCGGTTTAATATCTGATCTATATCTTAATTTGTTTTTTAATTTATTCGTTATGAATTACTTCACAACTTATTCGTGCGAATTTTTTTAAATAAACTTAAAATTCGAAATAGCGGGAGGAGTCCATGATTGTGAAAAATTTTGAAACTTTAAACTATTGACTCTAAATAATTGACTCTAAACAATTGACTCTAAACAATTGAAAGAATTTGGAATTTTTGCTTATGAAATATGACAACATGGTTGTTCAATAGCCAGATATCTATATGCATTAACATAATAGATATTAAAAATCGTTAAACCTCTCTCTCTCTCTCTTTAGATTCTGACAAAAAGTTGAAAACTTCATTGTAGATTTATTCATCAATAATCCCAGAAAATTCGTATATACTTATTTTGATACAGTAGTATAACTACTATTAAACCAGGTTTTAGACTTTGGTTCAAAAAGTATCTTTCATCTTACTATACCGCACTAATCAAATTTATACGAGTCAAAAGGGGAAGGACGTTGTCCGTTATGCAAACTATTAGAGGAAGCCGAGAGTGTTTTAGAAGTCAGGAATCAGTAAAGAATCTACATGCATTAACGTAATGAAGATATTAAAAAATCGTCAAACCTGTCTCTCTCTTTAGATTCTGACAAAAGTTGAAAATTTTATTGTAGATTTATCCATTAATAATTCCAGAAAATTCGTATATACTTATTTTCTGGGATTATTGATGGATAAATCTACAATGAAATTTTCAACTTTTTGTCAGAATCTAAAGAAAGAGAGAAGTTTAACGATTTTTTAATATCTTCATTATGTTAATGCATGTAGATATCTGGCTATTGAACAACCGTTTCGTCATATTTCATGAGCAAAAATTCCAAATTCTTTCCGGAAATGTTCTTAAATAAACAGATCAACTTACGTGAAATTGTTCAAATAATGAGAACACGCGGAGCCACTTGGCGATATTTTGAAAATTATTTAAGAAAAAACCTGAAATAGATACCTAGGTATTGATATAAGGTTTAACGTAGTCGTGATTTATTTTGGTATATATCTCTGTATAGGTGATATAGGAGAATCGATGTATATATATAAAACGTGATAACGACTGCCGATGTACGCATGAATTCTAATAGTTTTGTATATAAAGCATTATAGTGAGTAATTTGTTAAGATGTATCGATCTCGATAGATACAATGGTAATCTCGCGTGGATTATAAGCGAACAACTATACTGATCCCAGTATGTGCCAAAATTGTATTGTTCTCACCCGAATGTGAACAATGTAGTTGAAACTACGAAAGGTGACGCGTTAATAACGTTGATCCATCGGTTACTTTATGGTTAAGAGATACTTGATTTTTATATATGTGATGCAAAACTTTAATTCCGATCTCTGTCAGATAGAGAGTTAATTGTCTAATAAAAACGTAGCGTTTAATATCGAATCGTTATCGATTAAAGATTAGCGTACTATGATAAATAATGCGATATCCAATAATCCAGTAAGAAAGGATTGTTCCAAAAATTGTGAGAGAATAGGAAGGATGTATGATAATCTTCTGGAAAAGAGAGAAATACAATATAGCGGAATAAAATCATATTAGAAGTTTCTAAGCGTGGATATAGTTATCGCATTAATTTATAATTAGATAATCGGACAATTATGTGATCATATACCGATTATCGTCCAATAACAATTGGCAATTGACACGTGACATCATATCGATCGATGGAGAAGTAGAAATCTCAACGTAAAGTAGATTTAGACACGATCCTTACGATTAGAGATAAGTTTTTCCTGCGAAGAGATTACGACAGATATTCTCTCTCTCTCTTTCTGTCTCTTCCCATCGCGTACACGAGGGAAATATAAATACATTTACAAATTCACAAATCTACAATCTGCGTCGATGCTAATATGAAGCATATAGATACGTGTACGTTTGTATGGTTATCTTACTCGAATTCGTAAAAGTCAATTCCGATTCGTACAGGTAATATAGTGGAGAAGTCCCATTTATCCACGAATATATGATACATTATATACATCGCGTAGAATGATTATGAAATATTCGTTTCATTATGTACAGATGTTATAATAAAATTCAAGTTCGTAAGATAACCGGTATCTTCCTTTTATTTGCCCTTTGATCTTAATTAAAATATATAAATCTTACAAAATTTAAATGCATAATTAGATATGCAATAATTAGAGATTATATCCTATTTATAAGTTTATATATATATATATATATATATATATATATATATATATATA